GCCTCCGGAAAAGGGCGCTTTTTCCAAAGGATCGGGGCCAGTGTAGACGCTCTTTTCCGGCTTTTCTAAACGCCGGAAAAAAGCGGCGGACATTTTTATTTAAATGCCGCGGGGGATATTTAAATCCCCCGCGGATTTCCCTACTACGATAGCTGAAATTAACATGCCCCTTCCGGAAAAGGGGCCAGTGTAGACGAGCCCATTCTGTTTGACCTTGGTCACGTCACTTAAGACTTGGGGTGCATCTCTGCTGTCTGCTCCCCATCTGTGGAGTGGGAACAATACTGTTCCTTTTCTCCCACCCTTGCCTCTCTCCTCTATTTAGATTGTAAGCTTTTCAGGACAGGGATTTGGAATGTTTTAGTACGGTGCCTAGCACAATGAGGCCATGATTGTCTATAGGTACCACTGTCATACACGTAATAACAAAATGTTGCTGGTGTAATAACTAAAGAACCAACTCTGGCATGGAAGTCACAGATGTCCTGACTTTAATGGACTGCAATGATTTCTTTTGCCAGAAGCAGCGTGCTGGGCCTGAGCAGTGGCTGGGGGCTGGAGCAGATAGTGAGACCTCCAGCTACAGCAGTAGCCAGTGGTCAGCCCCCAGCAGGGCTCTGATTGTTAGGTCTCTGCCTAGGGTATTTATTAAAAGAAAAGGACAAATCACAGGCTTCCATCAATATTTGTTTATTGCCTGTGACATGTCTATGTCTTTTACTAAAAGTACCCATGACAAAAATATTAATGTTAGTAATCTCGGAAATGTGAGACCTCCAGCTACAGCAGTAGCCAGTGGTCAGCCCCCAGCAGGGCTCTGATTGTTAGGTCTCTGCCTAGGGTATTTATTAAAAGAAAAGGACAAATCACAGGCTTCCATCAATATTTGTTTATTGCCTGTGACATGTCTATGTCTTTTACTAAAAGTACCCATGACAAAAATATTAATGTTAGTAATCTCGGAAATGGTTCAGACAAATTCTTCTTTGAGTGATGGTATTGCACACGTGGGATATGTATGCATGCCATATGCCTGAGTGTGAAGCTTTGAGTTGAAGACCCTATTTGGACACAGAATGGCTAACCTAGTGAGGAGGGCTTTAAACTAGGTTCGACAGGGACAGGTGAGCAAAGCCCACAGGTAAGTAGAGAACATGGAGACCTGGGAGATGGGTCGGAAATGGGAGGGAGCATGGGCTACAATGGCAGAGAGAAAGGAGGGTCAGGGCAAAACTGGGAGGCAAGGTCAAATCAGGATCTTAGATGCCTATATACAAATGCGAGAAGTATGGGAAATAAGCAGGAAGAACTGGAAGTGCTAATAAATAAGTATAACTATGACATTGTTGAAACAAAATACAGGACTATGTAGCACTTTAAAGACTAAAAAGATGGTTTATTAGATGATGAGATTTCGTGGGCCAGACCCACTTCCTCGGTCTGGACCATGAAAGATCATCTAATAAACCATCTTATTAGTCTTTAAAGTGCTACATAGTCCTGTATTTTGTTTCAGCTACACCAGACTAACACAGCTACATTTCTATCACTATAACATTGTTGGCATCACAGAAACTTGGTGGGATAATACACATGATTGGAATGTTTGTATAGAAGGGTACAGCTGGCTGAGAAAGGATAGACAGGGAAAAAGGGAGGAGGTGTCTTATACATTAAAAATAAACACACTTGGAGTGAGGTGGAGATGGACATAGGAGACGGAAGTGTTGAGAGTCTCTGGGTTAGGCTATAAGGGATTTAAAAACAAAGGTGATGTAATGCTAGAAGTCTACTACAAGCCACCTACCCAGGTGGAAGAAGTGGATGAGGCTTCTCTCTGGTTGAGAATTTGAAAGTGGAAGGCACAAGATTTGGTGGTGATGGGGGACTTCAGCTATCCAGACGTATGATGGGAAACTAACACAGCAGGGCGCAGATTATCCAATAAAGTATTGGACTGCATTGGAGACAACTGTTTATTTTCAGAAGGTTGAGAAAGCTACTGGGGAGAAGCTGTTCTAGATTTGATTTTAACAAATAGGGAGGAACTGGTTGAAAATTTGAAAGTGGGAGGCAATTTGGGTGGAAGTGATCATGAAATCATAAGAGTTCACGATTCTAAGGAATGGTAGAAAGGAGAACAGCAAAACAGAAACATTGGATTTCAGGAAGGCTGATTTTAGTAAACTCAGAGCTGGTAGGTAAGCTCCCATGGGAATCAAGACTAAGAGGAAAAACAACTGAAGAAAGTTAGCAGTTTTTCAAAGGGACATTATTAAGGGCCCAAAAGCAAACTATTCCACTGCGTAGGAAAGATAGAAAGTATGGCAGGAGACCACCTTGGATCAACCAGGAGATATTACATAATCTAAAAATCAAGGAGTCCTATGAATATAGGCAAACAACACAGGAATGCAGGGGCAAGATTAGAAAAGCAAAGGCAGAGAATGAGCTCAAACTAGCTACGGGAATAAAGGGAAACAAGAAGACATTTTATAAATAAATTAGAAGCAAGAGGAAGTCCAAGGAGAGGGTAAGCCCACTGGTCAGTGAGGAGGGAGAAACAGGAAACTTGGAAATGGCAGAAATGCCCAATGACTTCTTTGTTTCGGTCTTCACCAAGAAGTCTGTAGTAATGCCTAACGTAGTGAATGCTAGTGGGAAGGGGGTAGTTTTAGAAGATAAAATATAAGACGAACAAGTTAAAAATCACCTAGAAAAGTTAGATGCCTGCAAGTCACCAGGGCCTGATGAAATGCATCCTAGAATACTCAAGGAGCAGATAGAGGAGGTATCTGAGCCTCTAGCTATCATCTTTGGAA